TATTTCCCAGGTTGAATTATTACTTGAATAAATCTTTACAACGAGATTTAAAGTACTTTGGTTCTGCCTGTTGTGTGGATGAATACCATTTCAAACGATATATTACAGCACACCAAAGATAAAATGATGGATTATATAGATTTCCACTATTGCTTTGCTTGTCTCAAAACGTATAGAACACTAAATTCAAGTTGGAATATTCTTCTCTAAAAGCATACATGGTAAGAAAAATTCATACTTACTTACCAGTCACACAGAATTTGACAGCTCTGAATATCTACACCAGAGCCACAGAAGACTGACCCTGCCAACAGTCAGATATGGAAAGTGGAGGGGTTCAGAAGACCCTACCTCTGCTGTTGAGCTAGTGGTTATTGATAGATTCTTGGAGACAGAGAAACATTGACTTCTGTTGTGTGCCCACTGCCAGGCTCTAAAAGATAGCTCAAAACCCATGGTCAAGGGAAGGCCCTGGATAATCTCAGTGAGTCATGTAAAATATTAGACACACACATGAGAGGTTAGTGGGGATGAGGTGGGTCAGGGAAAGAGTAGAGTTAGAATGTCCACTAAAATCATATTATAGAAGCACACAAACACACACACACACACACACACACACACACACACACACAATTTAAATGAATGAGTGTCTGGAGTGAATACTTTCTAACTGTCCTTCTAACTCTAAGATCCTGTTACCATAGGGTGCTTCCATGAGAAGGAATGCTAACATGTGCTATGTTACTTTATTATTTCACAGGTTATGCACCCTGACAGACACCAAAGCATATTTTTATATTACACTTTTACAAAATGTGTTTCTGAAGGATAAGTTGACAAAGGACTTGGTGAATTTCCAAAATTAACTGTGAAAGACAGATCATCTAGGCATGACTGAAAGCCATGCATAACCTTTGTGTTCAGGTACTTCATTTCAAAAATGTCACTTTCTGCTCGTTCAATGAGACTGTCATTATACTATTTTAAGCCTTAAAATTTGTGTTCTCAAGTTGAACAGGAATTATTGCTTCTATCTTTGGGCTTATTAGAAATAATTTAAAATTCATTTAAAATGATAAAATCACCTTTTAAAAAGTGGTTGAATTCCGTTAAATGTTGAAAATTGCAGTGCAGTTCTTATTGTCTTTTTGTGTGTGTGACTTTAATTAGCAACAATTCAACAGCTGTATATGTAGCACAGGACTATTTTAAGAGTCTCAGAAAAAATTATATTAAGAAATAATTTTCTTTACTTTTAGATTCACCAGAAATAGATTAAACGTGAAATAAATTGGGGGATAATGTTACCTAGAATTCAAAACTTTTCCATATATAGATAAACTTTAAAAATATGACAGTTGAAATATATCCTCATTGATCTATCCTGTGATATGTGTACAAATAAAAAACTACATCCCTAGGAAATATGTTTGCCTCTGATCTTCCTTCCCAAAATGAATTATGAGATTTGGGGGGAGTATGAAATAAACATATAGGAATCACCTTCCCCCCAATATCGAGGGAATGAATTCAATTATTTGTAATTTACTTAACAGTTTACTCTCTACATAATCCTTATTCTCCCAATTCAAACTTTGTACAGTGCTAATTCAGAGGGCCAGGGAAATAACTACTAGAGTTAGATAAACCTGCTAGCTTTTGGCATTCTCCTCCAATCAGGGAAGGAAAGAGAAAGAGACTTACCTCCTGGTGTGCGAGGGTTTCCCAGGAAAGATCAGCTAGAGAACTGCTTCATCTGGCCATGAGCCAAGGAAGTGTGTGATCTAGGTATTTTTCAACAAGTGTCAATTCAAGCAGCAAACCTCCAGTACGTGTGTGAGAGTTAGGCAGTCTATGTGTGGGTGTAAATTAGAGATTAGAGAATTGTATTGCGAAGAACTATGATTACATTCCGGGTGGTAGAAGCCTGCTCCTGGGTGGATATTTGTCCTGAATAGTGCTGCGTGGAACAAAAACATGCTGTCTTGAAGAAGATAAGATCAAGATGTGAGGGAGAGGATGAAAAAAAATTTAAACGCTACCTTGAGATGTACTGTACTCAATTTTAAAATAATAGAGCTACTCATACAATCCTAATACCAGAGGATGAGATTCAAATAGGTACCTATCATTTAACTGTAAATGGTTCTTACATATTTACATAGTGATCAATGAACACGTACTTTATCTTAGCTCCCTTAGAGTGACACAGCAAAATGGGGGCATGATTTAAATTACAGATGTCCCTTTCTCCATAGTCTTTAACACCAGCAGTCTGAGATCAAGACATGGCATGTTTAGCTTCTACTGAAGGCTTTCTGCCTGGCTTGTAGAAGGATGACTATCCTCTGTGTTCTGATATGATAGGTAAGGAGAAGGGAAGAGACTCTTTCAATACTACAAAGGCCCTTTGTTCTCAAAACATCTGCCAAGCTTACATGTCAACCACAGTTCAGTCTCCCAGTGTCACGATACTTGTGGTCTTTAGTAGAATATTTGGGTGTCCTAGAGGATCACAGTTAGATCAATAAAAAGTGCCAGGTTTGATCATCTCACTGATGCCTGGAGACTCATGTATCATATTTGGTTTTCCTTGTACAAATTCTCTGTAATCCGTTCAAAATTAAACTGTCTCCATGATCTTTATATCATGAACTTGTCCCTATTTTTTAAGATTAGTTGTTCTCGTTTAGTTATACTATACATTCTTCTGAAATAGGAAATTTCTCCATTAATTTCATCAGTGTAAAAGATCTTTATTTCATGTTTGTGCCTTTTTGCAAATAAAACAGTCATTTGTTCATAATTTGAGGAAAATGCAGACATTGATCCCACTTATTCCAAAGGTTATCTTCTCATCTGTGAGGGAAAGAAGGATGTTGTCTCAAGGTTTCTCTGTCCATTCAGGTACTTTGGACAACATACGAATCCTGTTTTCTCCAATTATCTGCATAGAATTCAAGAGAGAAGAATGAAAACCTTGATATGAATGTGATTGTTCCTACGCAGGGAAGTTACCCACATCACAGCACCATCCTAACTGTAGACTCCGATTAATCAGTTGCCCACAGGGCTCCTCACTCTTATACTCTCCTCTTTTTTGAACCCAGCAGCCAAAGGAAATTTATTTCCAGCATCAATAGTTTAGATGATGCCCTGTTGTTGAAGGTAACAGGAAGTAAACTTCAAAGAATATTCTGGATAGACTTTCCTTCTTTGAGGTTCCCATTCTTTCAAAAATAGTTCCAGCACGAAATCAGCCTTGTCCATGGGTAGCTTTACTTTATCTTAGTTGGTAAGTGGTGTGTGTACATAAACTGATTTTATTTTTTTAATATAAAAAAATTCATGCCAAGTTTGGTGATGGAAAGAGGAGCTTGTGGTTCTTTGGTTCCTTCTAAAGAGGAATAAGCTAATTAGTTTCCAATTAATATGTCTGTAGACTTTTAATGTTTGGAAATAAAGGGTTTCACTAGGCTAGTCTTTTGGAAAATGACAGCTAGTTTTTAGTAGTAAGATTGAAAGAGAAAATCTAGATACATTACAAAAAATTATTTGATTGGAATGAATACAGTTATCATCATGGACAAGTGGAAGAGAGTACTTGAAATTATAAATCCAGCCAAATGAAGTGTGTAATAGAATACTTGATTGTTTGTGTCTTAAAGACACAATGGATGCACAGAGCAGCCACATACCCAGAACTCAGAAGTATTCCTATATTTTAGTAAATTTTAGAAAGGCTTTTGTGTCATAAGCTATGAGATTTGAAAACAGCAAAGGAGAAAATCAAAGTTTCCTTATTGGTGTCTTGACACCACTCTTAGTCTGCAAATCAAAGAGTAGTCTGGTTAGCTTTGTTCAAGTCTGACAACTGTAAATTTTGATGTCAGCTGACCTCATGTACTGGCATCTACTTCAGCCATTAGGTCTGCCATGCTGTGTCATGAGATAATCCATTTAAGTATTAATCAACACAACAACGTAATAAATCCATAACAAGAGTCCAGAATCTTTCCTCATATGACAAGTTTTAATTGCAGACATTTTCCACCTGGATCTACCTTTCAATATGGTGTCAAGAAGTTTGTTTTCTATCAAAATTTGTAGAGCAGTGATAAGGCTTCCAGCCCAGAGGGAGGTGGTTCCTTGTTCTACACATCTGTCACAAGTTCCCAATTTCTATCAGTTATTGATGCTTATGCATTACCCCTTCATTATTTTCCTTTAAAATTCCCCAGGGAATTCAGAATCGAGAGTGGAACATCACTAGTAAATTCACACGAAGACAGCATTGGGCATGCCTTAAGATATCTGATGGAAAAGGTAGATGAATGCACCCTAAACTGTAGTAGGAGATCTAGAGATTAACTTGTCTAGACTCATAAGATTTTCACAGCAGTTTCTCTGAAGTCTTGGATCCATCTTCTTAGGAGCTATTTATTTGTGTCAGCACAGGGATTAAATTCAACAAACTATGTTGTTTTTATTTTTATCAGAAAAAAAGAGATACGAGCATGTGTTACAGCCACACCAGTAAAATAATTCAATTTCTGTTAATTTTGTGACCGTTTATGTGAACATACATCATATTCTCCCTACCATCATCTACTTCAGTCTCACTTGTTTTTCAAATTGATTTTTATATGTCATTATCCAAGAGACTTCTTCCTTAAGTTTTTCTTGGATAATCCCAAGGTAGAGTAGTAACTACCCCCTACCCTGGTCAAAAGCCTTTATCAATGTTGAATGAGTAGCTAGAAAATAATTAGTCTGAAATTAAGAGTCAGTATGATTCTACCACCAAGGTTTTCTATGGGACACGTTAGACTGTGAATTTGCTTTGTGTGAGTTTGTAGTTTAATCAAAGACTCGAACTAGTAAAGAAGTTTAGTATTTGCGTCAAAGAACTACAGAAAACCCAAACACAGGTCAAATATGAAAGCTTTCCAATATATTCATGTTTTACTCCTCAATCCTTTTTATTTTTCTTTCAGTGTCTGCCAAACCAAGACCCCACAGTGACGAATATTCAAAGAAAATCCCCCCTCCAAAACCAAAACGGAATCCCAACACCCAGCTTAGCACGTCATTCGATGAAACCTACATCAAAAAACATGTGCCAAGAAGGACCTCGCTCCCACGAGATTCATCCCTGTCCCAGGTCTGCAGCCCTGCGGCGGACCCGGAAGAAGAGGAGCCCGTGTACATCGAGATGGTGGGTAACATTCTGAGAGACTTCAGAAAGGAAGAAGACGACCAGAGTGAGGCTGTGTATGAGGAGATGAAATACCCCATTTTCGACGACCTCGGTCATGATTCCAAATGTGACTTTGACCATCACAGTTGTTCTTCGCAGTGTGCTACTCCCACGGTGCCTGACTTGGACTTCCTCAAGTCTTCGGGACCATGTACTCCTAAGGGTCTTCTTTGTGATATACCCCCACCCTTCCCCAACTTACTTTCTCATAGACCGCCCCTGCTGGTGTTCCCACCAGCCCCAGTGCACTGCTCCCCTAATTCTGATGAGTCTCCGCTGACCCCTCTAGAGGTCACAAAGCTTCCTGTATTGGAAAACGTATCTTACATGAAGCAGCCACCTGGAGCATGTCCATCCTCCCTGCCATCGCACACCTCCAGCCACACTAAAGACCAGACCGGAGCCCTGGGCCCAGCGCCTGCAGCGTCTGTGCTCTCCTCATCTCCTCCGCCTCCATCCACTCTGTACAGAACCCAATCTCCTCATGGCTACCCAAAAAGTCATTCTACCTCCCCATCCCCCGTCAGCATGGGGAGGTCCCTGACGCCCTTGAGTCTCAAGAGGCCTCCCCCCTATGATGCTGTGCATTCTGGCAGCCTCTCAAGAAGTTCTTCCTCAGTGCCTCACTCGACCCCCAGACCCGTGTCGCAAGATGGGGCCAAGATGGTCAACGCCGCGGTGAATACCTACAGCGCTGTGCAGAGTGGTTCCAGGTCCCGGACACCAACCAGTCCTTTGGAGGAGCTCACCAGCCTTTTTACCTCAGGGCGTAGCCTGCTGAGGAAGTCATCCAGCGGCCGAAGGTCCAAAGAGTCTGCAGAGAGTAAGTTGAACAACCTGATCTGGTACAGGCCTCAAAACCAAAATGAGGTCCCATTGGTGCATGCATGCAAAGCCCAGGGGACTTGCTGCTGAGTCTTTTTTATTCCGATGTCAAAATGTAACGACATTTTTAAATTTCTGGCACGCTAAAAGAACTAGTGCGTTCTGAGTGGGCACTCACCACAAAGATTAAAAATGGCAATCTTCCCAGTTGTAACATATTCTACTCCCCCAAAGGTGTGAATTTCATAAGGCTAACATCGAATTTTTTACAATTTCCCCCAAAAGGTCTAGTGGAGAACACCATGCATTTCTTAGGTAGAAGGTTTGATTTGGAGGTACCTAAACAAGTACATCCAGAATAGTGAAGACAAAACTTATCTAAGATTACAACAACTCAGTTGTTGGAGATTTTCTGCAGGAAATCCTGCAGGAAAGACAGCAAACTGGACCAAGTTTGAGGTTTCTTTTCCTTTCATATAAAGAATAGTTTTGTCTACATGCTTCATATGATCACAGGCTTCCCTCCACTGTCAACAAGGACATTTGGTTCTCTGCTACACACCGTGGGAGGGGCTGGAGAGAGAGCTCAGCAGCTAAAGGGACTGCACATGGCTTGGTTCACAGCTACCTCTAACTCCTGATGGAGGGACTCTGGCATCTGCACACATGTGGGCAAACATGCAGCACAGACAGCCATTCCACCAGCACCACCAGCACCATCAACATACCACACAGACACACAAAAAGACACACACACATACTTACACATTCCAACACCACCATACCACATACCACACAGACACACATACAGCCACATGCACATGTGCACACACACACACTTACACATTCCACCAGTGCCACAAACATCACCACAAACCAAACACACACACACACACACACACACACACACACACACACATAATGAATCTTTAATAAAATTTAAATCTTATGTTTAAGTTATTCTTCCTGGATCCATTGTTGTATATAATATATGAAATAATTAAGGTATAAAAAACTGTTGCCAGTGAGTTTTAAAGACCAGAAATTTCAGTTTCTGAGTGACTAGCTCGTTCATGAGTCCTACACAGCTCACACCACAAGTCTGTAAACAGTCCCATGCAGTTCCGGGTCAGTTGTCTCCATGTCCAGATAATTTAGTCACACTAATTTGTGTTTGTTTTGATTTAATCGTGCTTTAGTCATTTAAACCGATTTAATCATCACATGTAAAATGAGTCCACCATTCAATCTGGTTGTCTACTTATGTAGTTCTACTGTTTAAATGGGGAAGAAAAGAAGTCCCTATCACTTTTTATGCTGGGGATGACTATGGCATTCTCAAGTAACCCATAATCATTGTTAGCTATGAATGGCTTTTCCTTTCTTTACCAGGAAATAATTATAAATGCATTAGTTGATGAAATAATACTCTCCCACATCTTTTTATGAGCTTAAGCAGTAGTTTTTAATGCCTTCAACATTCTTGAGTTACATATATATATACATACATATATATATATATATATATTTAAATAATTTTAAGAATTGAATTTAAAAATTAAGGGAATTCTATATTTCATGTTAGATACATGAAACAAAACTATATATGTATATAACATCTCTGTAAGACCCCGCACTTTTCTGTGGATACCCACACCCGAGCGCGCGCCTTCCCGAACTCGGGCCCACGAGAATGGACGACTGTCCTGAGGGTTTAAAGAGACACACACAAAAAAAGGACCTTGCTCATTTACCAAGAGTAAATGGCAACTTTATTAAACTCAAGTCAGATATTTATAGAAGTGGGCAAGCGGGATCAAAAAGGGCAAGGCCTCCTCCCAACAGAAGCAGGAAGGAGAATAAAGGCCCCGGCGCCTCAGGCAGAATCAGCTGGGGGAGGTCAGACCTGTGGAGCCCACTGCTAGAACCTTGAATACAGGTGGAATCACCATAACAAAGAGAGCCAGGTTCTTCCTAAACTAACCTCTCAAGCCAGTGCTAGTGCAGAATCTCCAGGGAGCCGGAGGTCACATGGCCCTGCGAATGGCCAGGAGAAGGGGAAAAGACCTTGGTACCTACACATCTCAACATCTCAAATCACTCATACACGCACTCGAAATTTTTAGGAGCAGTCTGTCTATAGAACAGTTGTTCAGAATTCAAACAGTTTTTGCCTGTAGGGATGTTTGACAATGTCAGTGTCTAGTAAGATCATTGGTGTCAATCTGGGATGATACTGTGTTTACAATGCAGAAGTTGGGATTATAGAGAATAATTAAAAATTACTCACTAAAAGGCAGATCCACTGTGAGTAAATTCTTTTAGAATAAAAGAGAAAAATGTAAATGAATTATTTACTTCTAATATATACAATTTCCCCATGACATTATCAGGCATTTCACTTTGGATTGGTGAAACTCTTGGGCTTTTTCCCTACCTATCAGCTTCTTTGGAAAACCCTTAACACCTCCAGCTGGCAGATGTACCAATTAGCTAGAAAAACTGTATATAAAGGAACAATTAACTAATGAAGTTATTTCAGGGGGAAAGTCCATCTGCTCGTAGCAATCTATGTGCTGTATATCAGAGACACAACTCTCTGACTTTGAAAGTGCTTTGCATTCTTCAAGAACAAAGGTTGTGCATGGAAGAGTGACCTAGGACCTTTGCAGGCTTTCGGAGCCAAGGACTGGGTTCTTTTCTGTCATCTATTGGTTGTGTTACAAGACTTCAGAGAAAGTCATGCTGAGTTTCATTGGGCCTGACATTTTATTCTACTTAAATAAGAGGGAAGAGAAATGAAGAGTAGGAATGAGTAATTAAAACTTTAATTGTCTTTGGCTATAGAGAAAAAATAGAAACACATTACTTTATGCTAAAAAAAAATGAAGAACTTTTGGAAATATTGTGTGATGCACAGAAACCAAATTGCTAATAAATACAAGTTAACTACTAGTCATTGCTTTACTACCATGGCATCTTCTTTCCTTTATCCCAGTCTGACAGGGTTGGTAGGCACCTGTTGACATCATAAACACAGAACAAGTGACATGAAGTAGTGAAAGATTCATGACTCAAGTGTCGTTAAGGTTTACATTTTGAGATACTATTTCAGGATTATTTTGCATTCTAGGGATATGGGTATCTATTTTCCCTCCCCCTTTATGCATGTGAAAAGTGAATTCCCTGGTTAGAGGTAAGGCTGTGACTCCTGCCTTCAGTTCAACGAGCTACACTAGAAATTGGGGAGAAACAGCGCTTGCTGGGCTCACTTTCTAGTTCACGTGCTTACAGGTTCATGCTTAGCTAGCTTTCTTATACACCCAGGAGCAGTTCCTAAGGACTGGTGCCACTCATAGTGAGCTATTCCCTTCTGAATCAATTAACGACCAAGAAAACCCCTCATGGGAGCTGGAAAGATGGCTCAGTTATGCTTCTTTCTTTTACAGAGTACAAGAGTTCAGTTTCCATCATTGCTATTACAACCATCCCTCATTCTAATTCCAGGAGTTCTGGCGTCCTCTTTTGACCTCCATCAACGCCAGGTGTACATGTGGCACACAACATACTTGCAGGCAAAACACACTCAAAAAAAAATCATTAAAAAAATATTCTCTTAGAGACTTGCTCACATACTAACCTGATGGAGATAGTCAAGTTTCCAGTCCTAAGAATGAACCTCAGAAATCTAGAATGTGTATATTTGACTGCAGATATCACGAACACCATTGTGCTGACCTCATGGTCACCACTGTCTAGTAGGTTCATAGTCCATGACTACCCCAAGGGAAATTAAGACACTGATCCAAACCCCAGCTATGGGCTAGGGAAGTGGCTCAGCAGGTAGGAGAGCTTGTGACACAGGTATGACAGCCTGAATTCAGATCCCAGCGACCGTATGAAATGCTGGGAACAGGTGTGCATGTGCCTTTCATGCTAATGCTCTAGCAGGAGCGGCAGGAAGATCTCAGGAGGGTGTTGCTTATCAGCCTCCTTCCTGGTTCAGTGAGGGACCCTGTCTTGGAGGAATAAAGCAGAGAGCTAAAAGAGGAACCCAATCTCTCCTCTGGCCTCTGCACACACACACACACACACACACACACACACACACACGTACATGCACCACACATATATCAAACACATGTAAGCAATAACAACGGCAACAAGAAAATGGCTAAAGGCAATGACAATCTCACAACAGCAGACCAGGCACTGACTCAGGTGAACACAGGAAGAACAACAGACCCTCAGCAAATGATCTCAGGCCCACCTTCTTTGTCCCCTAGCTCTGTGAGTCTGTCCACGCAGATATTTGCTTTTAAAATGAAAGAAAACATACAGTTTGTTAAGAATGAGCCAGCCTGTTTAGTCAGTCTTCTTTTTAAAGCTAAAATACCCTGTATTCAGAGTGGTGAGGTTAAGTGAAAAATAACTAAAATTCCTCGATTTTGCAAACTCATGGGACTCCTGGTTAATTGGGAGAGCGACTTTGTCTGTTCTCCTTGTTCAGTTTATCCTAGAACTGCAGCTCAGAATCACTGAAGAAAACATAATTTCATAAATAATTGCTCACCTTTCTGGGGGTATGCTGCACCTGTCTTTGAGTGATTCAAGTAGACATGTTTATCCCCAGTGTTTATAGTCACTGGCTGCTGAATCTTTAAGTGCAATTTCTTGTCAGCAATTTAAGCAGCAATTCTCTCTGTTAAGAAGTACCCGTGCTGCTTTAGACTCTAAAATCCAGTCACATTGTCAATTCAGAAACAAACTACAATGGTCTATTTAAAAAGAGATTCTCTCAGCCATACCTAAGTCACACCAGTGGACTATACTACAGCTGACTTCTTTTGCTCCCTATCAGTTAGATGAAACAGAAAATTTACTATGTTTCATTTATTATCATGGATTTTGAAATTTTTAAAAAATATAATTAATAAACTCCTATGTTTAAGTAAGAAGGTAAGTTCCTTGTGCCATATTATAGTGCCTGGTGCATGG